ATATATATATATGTATAAGACCACCATCAGTCAGTGTCGACTATGGCATTATTGTCTTTACCCACTCCCGCATAGGTAGAGTCAATGTCTGGCCGAAAGAATGTGAGGAGCAAGCTGTTTCCCATGCAACAGGCTCCCTCTCTCCACGCAGCTAATTGATCCAAAGGAACAATATAAACAGATACTGCTTGACACCAGCGGCGTCGCAGGAATTGCCAGAACGAGGTCGCAAGAGACAACGAACTGCTTCAGGGACTCCAACTCCGTTTTTTTCCTCAGGGTTGACTCCCGAAGCCTTTTCATCTTATCGATGCCACCAGGCAGTGAATTGTTTTGTATTAGGTGGACTCCCATAGCCATTGACCATGCAGTAGTATCGTAACTCACGCACACACACACACACACACACACACACACACACACACACACACACACACACACACACACACACACACATTTAAATATATATATTTATACACTCACATTAGTACGTGTTTTAATGCGACTACTCGAGATATACAAGAAGCGCCTTAGTTGTCAAGCACAATGCAACAGCAGGCATTGAACAATAAGACGTCGTGACGAGGCAACGAAGCCGTGGCTGGTCTCGCTGCGCTGAGGTCAGAGGCTTCCCTCGGCCCGTGTGCAAGGAGACGTCGGACGGACAGCTGACGTTATGACAGGAGACGAAATTGGATCAGTTAGCGTCGCCTCTCCTCGACTTCCAGGTGGGCGCCTTAAGGACGGGTTTTGCTCGAATTATTGCTCATTTCCTTTTTTTTCTCTCCCTCTTTCTACCATAACTTTCTTAGTATTTCCTAGTTCGTGTAAGGATCAAGAACCTGAATACCACTCAGCAAAGACAAGCATCGCAATCAAGAAAACCTTACAAACTCATAAAGAAAGCTATTTAGAAAAGTCTCTCTCAATAACCCCTCACAGCCTCTTTCCCAACAAAGTCCTCGGAGGCGAGAAGCTCTTAAGCCCGGCTGAGACGAGGATCATGAGCATCTCTGGCTTCGTGAGGATTATCTCGAGGGCTTAGTCTCCGGCCGAGGCATTAAAGGGTTTTCAGCGCCGGTGTAATGTCTTTTTTGTTATGGTAATCGGTATATTGTGTTTTAATCGTGGTGTTTCTTGGTGTTGTGACTGCGGCGTGATTGGTGTGCTTCTCGTTTCTCGCTTCTCATCAAGCGCGCGCGCACGCACGCACACACACACACACACACACACACACACACATTAGTTGTCAAGCACAATGCAACAGCAGGCATTGAACAATAAGACGTCGTGACGAGGCAACGAAGCCGTGGCTGGTCTCGCTGCGCTGAGGTCAGAGGCTTCCCTCGGCCCGTGTGCAAGGAGACGTCGGACGGACAGCTGACGTTATGACAGGAGACGAAATTGGATCAGTTAGCGTCGCCTCTCCTCGACTTCCAGGTGGGCGCCTTAAGGACGGGTTTTGCTCGAATTATTGCTCATTTCCTTTTTTTTCTCTCCCTCTTTCTACCATAACTTTCTTAGTATTTCCTAGTTCGTGTAAGGATCAAGAACCTGAATACCACTCAGCAAAGACAAGCATCGCAATCAAGAAAACCTTACAAACTCATAAAGAAAGCTATTTAGAAAAGTCTCTCTTAATAACCCCTCACAGCCTCTTTCCCAACAAAGTCCTCGGAGGCGAGAAGCTCTTAAGCCCGGCTGAGACGAGGATCATGAGCATCTCTGGCTTCGTGAGGATTATCTCGAGGGCTTAGTCTCCGGCCGAGGCATTAAAGGGTTTTCAGCGCCGGTGTAATGTCTTTTTTGTTATGGTAATCGGTATATTGTGTTTTAATCGTGGTGTTTCTTGGTGTTGTGACTGCGGCGTGATTGGTGTGCTTCTCGTTTCTCGCTTCTCATCAAGCGCGCACGCACGCGCACACACACACACACACACACACACACACACACACACACACACACACACACACACATACATATATACTCACATCATTACATGCATACATACATATATGTATATATATTCTAAAATGGAATGAAAATGATTGCTAAGTCATTGGCAGTAATACCTAACCAAATACCATTTTACGTTCCACTCTAAAACAGAACAACCGAAACGCCAGTCTTTTTTAACCAAAATGCCCTAAGTTACACAAAGCCACAGATATCAGCGCTTCATAACACCCACTTCCTTTCCCATGTCGCGGCTCGCCAGAAGGTCATCGATTAACTAATTGACACAAGCCAGGAGAAAACAGAGGTCATTTTGTACACTCGCTAAACAAGTATTTTTACTCGGGAGTAGATGAAACCGAAACGATCGCTGGGAGTTGATTCGGAATGGTTGGTACTACTTATTTTCAAAGCTCGGAACAGATACAGCTTCATAATGTGCTCGAATAGTGTTTTGGAGGTAGTATGGCAAGGGCCTCGTATTATGCCAATATCAGCAATGGAGATCTCATAGACTATTCGTGGCGTCATAATTACGCTTTACTCTGAGGGATTATCAAAACCAGATTATGTATTTCGAAACTAATCGTATCTCTGTGGGTCCAGCGACACCAGGCAACTGAATTCGCTAGAGAAAAGGCCAGCAGTGGACGCCCTAGAGCACGACGGAGGAAGATCAAGTAAATGTAATTCAAAACTATAAATCAATGTGCTATTTAAAAGACAAATAGGAAACTTGCAATGAAGTGCATGAATATGATGAGCTAGTGAATCATATTCATCCCTTACAGCAGACTGGATTTGAGAAGGGGGCCTGGCTGGTAGTTAATTGCCACGTCCTCTTACCGTTGGTCATTTTTTTAATTATTTATCTTCATTATTATTATTATTTATTTTTTTTAGCAATCCATAACTACAAGGGATGCGGACCTCTTGTTCTGATTATAACATCCAGTGGATTCTGCATTACGCTGCAACGCACAGGCTCTCAGAAAACAGCAGCGGGGTCAGGGAGTTGACGGATATCGGGCCCGGTAGATTTACGGGGTATGCCTACAGGTGTGGGCCATAGTGTTCCCCGAGGCCAAGACATTTTACCTCGTCCAGGATAACTGCCCCATACACACGAGCAGTGTCGTGAAGGCGTGATTTCGGCATTACTCCGAGATTACGCTGTGCCACATCCACCCAAATCGCCGCATTGCAATCTCATTGAGAATGTTTGGGCAGCCATGGGCAGAGACTTCCCCCGAGATCATACACACAATCGTCATATCGTCGATGCCCAAGCAATTACGGCATAGGAGTGATTGCGCTCTGGCAGTTAACGGCGGCGTTAGTGGCATCAAACCACGTAAACGTATATAATTAATATCATCATTATAAATAACATTAGTAACATTAGTATCCTTAGTATAATTAACGCCAATATCATCATGGCGAACAATGGCCATGGTGATATCAACTATCATAATGATAATAATAATGATAATGATGATAAAAGCAATAACGATGATAATAATGACCATAATGATAATGATAATGATAACAGCAACAAGAGCCATAATACCGATAATGAAATAGACAACCAAACCAATAAGAACGGCAATTACAGTCAAGACACTTCCTTAATGCGAGACAAGGCACAACGCCCTCCTCTCTCACCCAACACCGGCGCTGAAAACCCAGAGACAGAGCTGCTGAGTCGCCAGTCAGAAGTCCTCGAAGCAATCCTCCAAATGTCCGTGATCCTCGTCTCAGCTTCTCACCTCCGAGGACTTGTGTTGGGAAGGAGGTGAAGAGCGTATCGTAAGAGAGATTTTTTTTCATAGTTTTCTGATTTTTTTTTTTTTTGCTATTTGGAATATCGGTTGTCTGATGTTTTTTTTTTTGTTTTTGTATGAACTGTCCAGTGATCATAGATTTTAGTTACACACGGATTTTTTTTATCATGAGTAGCGACACTCTAAGAATATTACATCAATGGCAGAAAAATTTAAAACAAACAAATAAATAAATAGAAATAAAGACAAAAAACTGACCCAAGTTGATATCCACGTTAATGAGCAAAAACAGGCACAAGATAAGGGCTAAGGAGAGCGAGAACACCAGAAGAGGAAGGACCTCGCACCTCACAAGCGGCGGCGGAGGTTAGACGAGAGAGGAAGGAAATTCTTGGCTGATGGCGAGCGCTGGTAAGAGGAGTTTTTACGCTCAGATATTAGAATGAGAAAGTTTTTTTTCTGCGTTTTCAAATGAGTCCTTTGAGATCTCTTTGGATGTATTGGGTTATTTCCCGTTTACGCTAGTTTTCCTTATTTTTCTACCTTTCTTTCCTTTTCTTGTTTTGGTTAAGAATAAGAAATCCGTATGCCCATTCCCTTGTGTCACGAACTGAAGTATGTTCGTCATCTCCCTTGTCCGTTTTCAAAAGAGGTATGACTAAGCATATGGGAGAGTTCAACCTGAGAGACCCAGTGAGCAGTGGGCAAGAGGCTAGATGTAGAGAAGTCTCTGAGATGATTTGAAGGAAAACTGGGAAAAGAGTAGGTAAGGATATGACGAGGTTGGGCACTAAAAAGGACGGTGAGCTCAGGGAGATTTCGACTGCTAAACAAAGACGTTGATTGGGGAAAGGACGTGATGAAGAACGCGGATGAGCTATCAACTAATACAAAAAGGAATTCAATAATTTGTTTATTATATTCTATAAGAGCAAAATCATACAAAAAAGGTATGTGTGTGCTTGTATATATGTCACATATTTATGCACGTGTGTGTGTATATATGTATCTATATATATATATATATATATATATATATATATATATATATATATATATATATATATATATATATATATATATATATATATATATATGTGTGTGTGTGTGTGTATATAACAGTCTTTCAGAGTATGCCTAATTGTCGAAAGGAAGAGTCCAGAACTTGGAGCTGAGTTCGGAAGACGCCGTACTGCCAGGAGCCATCTCCAGTGAAGTCCATGATCAAGTTAACAGAAGGCTGAGAGCTCTCCTGTCGCTTCAGGGAGAGCTGCCGGGGACCTGGCTGTCTGACGAAGGCGTAGTGGGCTCATTGAGCTGGACCACTTTCTTGGCGCAGGTCTGCTTGAGGCAACTCAAGTAGTCGGCCATCCTGAACGAGCGAGGCTTGGAGCAGGAGGCGGAGGCGGCGGCCACGGCGTAGCCCAAGGGAGATCCGTTGGTGGCCACGATGAGGGCGTTGGCGACGGCCATGCGGTCCAGGCTCATGTCGGGAACACCTGCGGTAAGAAGGCATCATGCGTGGATTATGTTTTATCTGTTATTTTATAATGCAGATCTTGTAGAATGATGAATCTGACAGACGATCAGGAGTTGGCTTACCAGGCCTGTAGCGTTCATGGCGCAGCGGCGGATGCCGGTGACCACTTTGGGGTCAGGAGAGGTCATCTCACTGATGGTCTCCGGGGCTCCGCTCTTGAAAGCTTCACCTGTGGACATGCGTGGGTTGAGACTGAGGATAACTTGTATCTTACATTTATCCAGAAATGTGTACCACTGGGTTCTTAAAGCCTGTAGCAAACACTAACTAATGC